ATAGTAGTAGTACATATATTAATTATAGTAAATTACATTCAAGGACTGGTAAATAAATTATAAATTTTGGTAAATAGGTAAGTTTAGGACTAAACAATATTGATCGGACCCTCCAATCAGCTACAGACCTAATAAATACAAATAGCAAGAATCACATAGCATTTGCAGTTAAGTCAACTACTGTACCAGAAAAAATGTTTCTCTAAATATCACGAATTAAAGTCGTCTCTCAAGGGTTTATCTTTCATTTAACTTATGTTTTACAACTCTTTATACAAGGCTCTAATTCTAATATATATTTATCACTAACTAGGAAAACTTAATTGAACGCAGGAAGATTTATAAATACCCCCGCCGCACCAAACCTGCAGACTAAGCGAATTTCCACGTGCCCTGTTGGATTACCACTATATGTCCTTAAAAATGTCTGATTTATTCCCTATTTAAGTAACATTAAACTTATAATGAGTTTTATAGGTATCAAATATGTAAATTTTCAAAATTAGATAAAAATATATTCATAAACAAGCAAACTACAACAGTTTACTTATCTATATTCAGGGTGATCAATTCAAGGAAGCCACCATTGGGATATCGGAAACGTAAGAATAAGAGACAAGTTTAAAAGGGGAACATTCCTTTATTTTTTGTGTCAGTTAAAAATATGAATTTAGTTTTTCAAAATTGAGCCGCAATTTTCCAATATGGCAGCCAACTTTGAAATTTCTTATGGAACACCCAATTTAAAAACATTTTTATTCTTGAAAATTTTTCTCTAAAGCTACTCGTTTAGAAGTTACAGCCTAAGAAAAAATTACTTGAGAGAGAGAGAGAGATACTTTATTACATGAGCGTTAAGCTCAGCAATGGTGTCAAAATTACAATAATAAACAACAAAAATCTATTTTTGACAAAAGTCAAAGTTTCTTCCACAGAGTGCAATGAACTCGTCGATGGTATAGACAGGGTTCTCAATCATCCAGTGTAGCATCCTCTTCTTAAGGGACTTGGAGTTTCCATTCTTAATGGTCGAAGAAAGGAGATTTAAAGAGCTTGGCCCCGGCATATGATGGCTTCTTGGAGTATCTTGAAGTGTCATGTGCAGGTTAGTTGTAGTTTCCAGCATTTCTTGTGTAGTGTGGATGTACATCAGCGTTCTTGAGGAGGTTTTGACTGCTTGCATACACAACTACTTCACATATATATATAGTGGCGACAGTTGGAATCTTGAGTGCCTCGAAGGTGTTCCTGCAGCTTTCTCTCCACTGAAGACCTCCGAGAACTCTAATTGCTTTTTCCTGCAAGGTGAGAACCCGACTCATATTCTCTTTAGATGAATTCCCCCACAGAACAATTCCATATCTTATATGGGACTCGACCAAAGCGTGGTAGGCCGAACGAGTAGCTTCAGGTGTAGCGACATGGTTGATCCGCCTTAGAGCAAACATGGAAGAACTGAGTTTGTGACAGAGGAAATCCACATGCATATCCCATCGCAAGTTGTCGTCTAAGATTACGCCAAGGTATTTAGTGAACAGAGCTGTTTCAATTTCTGGAGGAGACGACACTTCATTATTTAACCTTCCAAAGAAGAGTTGTTGTGTTCTTGTTAAAAACAAGATCATTGTTGAAACAGTAATCCCTGGCTCTGTTGATTGAAATTAAATTTTCAATCTCCAAAGTTTCGGCAGATGAGTTGCTGGTTAACAGTACTGAGTCGTCAGCAAACATGACAGTATGACATTTAAGATTCTTCCGGTGTACATTTTGCATAATCTAGCTCAAACGCGGATCTAGATGAGTCACAAGGGGGAGGCGAACCAGGAGGTTTGGGGGGGGGGGGGTTCGGGGTAGCCCCCCCCCCCGTAAAATTGGTGTACACTAAGTCTTCAAAATGGCAGTTCAATACAATTTCTTTGTCCAAAGTGTGACAAATTATTTTACGCAATGTGTATGCACTTCTGTATTACATGCAGTAAAAAATATATGTATACATATGCCCGAGGGGGGGGGGGTCGCCCCCCTCTGGATCCGCCACTGATGTAGCTCCTAAGATGAGTAAGTTTAGAGCGAAAATGTGAAGAGTAAATAAGTATTAAAATTGCATCTACATTCCTAAAAGACAGTTTTTCATTTTTCAAGTTTGTTGCCATTTTGGAAAAAGGTGGCCATTTTTCAAATAATAGAATCAATTTTTTTATGTATTTTAGTGCAATTTGAAGACTTCTTTACTCTGCATTTTTGTTCTAAGCTTACTCATTTAGGAGCTACATGATGCAAAATACCGGAAGTCAGTTTTTCTTAGGCTGTAACTTCTAATCAAGTATCTTTAGAGAACAAATTTAAATAATAAACAAAACTAATGAATAATAATTGTAATGAAACTTTAAGAAGTTGTTCTATTGGCTACACCCCCAGGCTTGCGTGAAATAAAATTTTGGAAAACTCCTCAGGGCTCTGCCCCAGTGGCTTTTAAATTTCCCATGTTTTCTTTATTGAGAAAAGAATTGTTTACATGTGAACAGATGAATACTTATGATTTTTACACTATTAACTAAGGGAACAGCTGGGCCCTGTTTCATAATAAACTAAACTACGACGCTGGGGAACGGTAAGTTAGCAGGACTGTACTTCGGACACAACTACTCCCTTATTTGTGGACCAATTTCAACGTTTAAGGTGTCAACAGATTCGTCTCAATATGTAGCTTTGCAATAAGGCTTTTTTATAATTTTAAAAATCCTACCCTTAAGGGTGTGAGACCCTCTCAAAGGTCCAACAAATACATAGAACAAATTTAAAAACAAAAAAACAGCTGTTTATAAAAAGAAACTCATTAGCGTTTTGGGAGTAAATATTAATGTTTGTAATATTCAGTAGGTTAAAACCAAGTTAAATAGTTAATCAGTTTTGTTGGAAGAACATAAAATGCCTTGATTTCAAAAAAGAAATATTGAAAAAAGGAGGAGGAGACAATTAATAATAAGATATTTTATGCATATGAGGAGATTACAAAAAGAGAGACCTGGTCTATAACAGATACCCATCCAGATACACATTCACTTGGTGAGATGAATAATATTTTCCAGTTCTGCTATGCAACTTAATTAGAAGAAGAGAAAAAATATATGAAGCACATAGTGTTGTCACGGTGGTAAAGTAAACTTGCCTAATGTCAGATCAAATGAATGCATGCAAGAAATAATTACTTCTGACACTGACAGATCGAGATATTTCAAAACATTTAGTAGAAACTGAAACTATAATAATGCCTTGGCTATGATAAGTTCAAGTAGGCTACTAAGTTTATACCAAATCTTGGCGGACCTTATGTTTTTATTGTTAGCGTATGTATTACTCACTCTACTTTGAGAAAAACGCAAATGGATTGTTTACTTCTAGGTTATGTTGCCACTGTTGCCAGTTACTTGGACAAACTTATACAAAGTTTATTGACTGAATTTACCAACACAATCCAGACATTTCAAGTCAAAAATAAGAAGTTTCAACAACTCATTTGCTATTGAAAGTTTTAGTAGCAATATTAGACCAAACATAAGTGAAGGAATTAGTGCTTATGTATGCAACGATCGAGTAGTTACAGTCAAGTTTATTTTTTTGATTCAGGAGAGGCAAATAACATACGCTGTTAAAAAAGAGAAAATGAAAATTGCTATCCAAATCTTATAGCTACAAGAGTTATCAAACCTATTTCGACAAATGAATCCATACTTTAAAAAACTTTGGGGGAGGTATTAAGAGAAACTCCACTGAACAACGTGAGAATGTTCTGATGCTGGGCATATACTGTGACTAACAGACAACACCTTAAAATATGTTAACGAACTTTTAAAGGTGTTGCTGCTTTAGTCTATTCAAAGCAGATTATGGCTGTCCAGTTCGTTGGTAGCCCAGAGTTTGTGGGTAAAAAATGGAGCACATGAAATGGTTGATATCACCCCACTTTTCAGGATTCTCTACGGAGAAAAATTTGTTTGTTTAGGGGGATGTCTCAAATCAAAGAAATAAAATTACTCAACTTAAATTACTTAACACAGGTTATCAGTAAGGGAACGGTTTTCTTCAATTCTCAAAGCTAGGAAAAACTTTGTTGCAACATGTTAACTCAAATTGAAGCAGAGCGTTTAGCATTCATTAGAAGTTATCAGTTAAAACTGAGAACAGAAATAATGTAGGTGAACCTTGACGACGCAACTAGAGATATTTAAAATTAGTTTCTAACAAGTTTTCAAACAGCTGTAAGTTGTAACTAGAATTACTCAAATTTAAGCATAACTTTTTCCTCCACGTTATGTTTCATACCATGCGGCTCATTGAGCTGCACGGGTTCTCTAGTTTCCATGATTTTGTTACCCAGGACATCTTAGCATAATTTATTAGTAAATAATAAGTAAAAAAGATCTTGCCTGTCCCTTCCTCAAGGTCTTTGGTCTTTGGCTGTCCACTGGTAATGAAAAAACTACCGTATGTACAGTTATTGTATTAAATACCCCCGCCACAGCAAACCTGCAGACTAAGTAAATTTCATTTTCATTTTTTTAGAAATTTAACTCCCCTTGGAGGCGGAAGTAACCCAGCAAGAAGAGGTTACAGTCAAGGCATACCCTGAAAATATACAGTTGCCAAAAAAATATGGAGCATCCGCAGCAAAATAAACAGCAGGATTCAAATAGTTTCCCTAAGACAGTTCTGGAGATCAATCCATAGAGGGACACCCCCACAATATACATACAAGGATAAGAAAGAAAAGAAGCCGATGGCTCTCCAAGAACGATAGAGAATATCATGAGAGTGAAAAGAACACTCCTAGCTTGGATGTCGAGAAAGATAGAGAAATTATGCTCCTTGATACGGTTCAATAAAAAAAAACATTCTTACTGCGTTAAGCATGCTTATAATTCCCTAACATGTTTATTTATACTGGTTTTAATATCTTAAAAAAAACAGTTAATTAATCTGGATTATTTGACCTGTTGCAGGCGCTTTCACCAAAACTCACCTCTGCAGAGAGGGAGACACAACTGAAACCGTTACTGAGCAATAAGTGGATATTGGACTCTGAAAAAGATGCTATTTCAAAAGAATTTCTTTTTAAAGATTTTAATCAGGTAGGCCTACAACAAATTAAAATTTGGTTGAAAACTAAATATTATTCCAATTTAGAAAATCAGTGTTATTTAATTGACTGAGGCTAAGTGAGTTTGCTGATGTATCCTACAAAAGGCTTACTTTAACATGTTCATAACGGTAGGGAAAACTCCTTTTCACTAGGGGGGGATTTAAATAAAATAAGGGAATTTGCTAAAACGTGGCCAAAACGGCAAACACCATACTTTTTTTATTTTGTTTTGTTTTAATGAAAAAGTATCTTTTGTTTAAAAAATAAAAAAAAAACTTTATGAATAAATTTACTGATTGTAGGGTTCATGAAGCTCATGGTTCCCATTGTTTGCAAAGTATAAATAATATTTATGAGAGTATAGTAGTTATAATTGCGTTACAAAATGGAACTGGAATTTCTTATTTAAAATAATCTGTATTTTAAACTTGGTTTTATAACATTTAATAAATTTTAACATTTTTAATACATAGAACACATCAAACTTTACAAACTAAACTTTACGTACCTCGTCTTGATACCTTACTATACTTAAGCTATATTACGCAGTTCAGGGGCTACAAAATGGAATTTAAAACTTTACAACTCAAAAGCACATTTTGTTTTGACTCCAATTGGGAAGTTGCTATGCCAACAAAACAACAAATTATAAACATTAAACAGTCTTTAGTTATAAAAACAAAAACATATAGTACCAAATAATTGAGTTAGGGTCTATTTGGATATTTATGATAAAACATTATACAGTAGAGCGTCAAAAGTCCGAACCAATTGGGATTGTAGGTACTGGTACTGAAGTTCAGATTACCGATTTGTTCGGATTTTCAAACATAACCTAGAAATGCCCAATAGACACATAATTAGGCCTACAGTATTAAAAATACAGTTCTTGGATACAGTTAATAAAATAAAAACAATGATTTTTCTACATAGGTATTTTTGGGACAAGCTGACTGTTTGCCCACAAAATTGTAAAACATCTGTTATCCCTCAGGAGTGGTTCGGATTTTTGACGTTCAGATGTTTGACGCTCTACTGTATTTTTATATTGCTTCAACACCTTCCCTCAATATAAAAATGTATAGTCTTCTTTTGTTAATGTACTGTGGTGTGAACAGTACACCTGCCATTTAAAGAAGCACTTGTGTATTCAATTGAATGCACAATATTGCAAATATGTTGAAATAGGTAAAGTTAGTAATTAAAATAGTTAAAGTTTTCAATTTCAAGAATAACAGTTTACTCTCTAGTGCTAATTTAATTTTCCTTGTTAAAATATTATCTCATTAAAAACCTTTAAAAAAAGGATCCTAAGAATTATGACATTTTTACAATCAAGAAAATCAAGTACAGTAGACCCCCTCTTATCCGACCTCGTATTAACCGATAATCGGATTATCCGCCTTCGATCGTAAAACACAGTTTGTTTTAACCGACCTTGATTAGAGAGCAGTTCGGTTTAACCGCCGCTTTCTAGGAATCTTGGCATTTCCGCTCCCACGCTGGGCGATGAGAACTGAACCATACGCTTATCTCCACAGGATATGACTAAGAATAAGTTATTTTGTATTGATAAAAAAAAATATAGCATATTGTCAGTTTGTTATCTTTGCGGAAAATGTATAACATCGTAAAGTGCGTTACGATTTTGAGAACTGATTATCTAATCGCTGGAGTAAACAAACAATGCAACTTGTAGGGAGGGCAGGGAAGGAGGGTTAACAACTCCAAGGTCAAGATAGTTTTTGTGCCTCGAGCTTCCAGTGAGAGGCTATAAATAAACATCCTGTCTTGTAACAAAATGGTTGCTTGTATCTTTAATTTCGACAAAAGGTTCTGTACTGTAATACGATGGATTTGGAAAGCATCAATTAATACATTACAGTTCTAATGTTATTCCACTGAAAGTTGGCCTATTTGACTTAACCGTGTTTTGTGTTTATTTGTGACTTTTCTATCAATACGTAAAAGGAGATAAGAGTAGTTTATTTTATAAATAATGCAAGTATGACTTCAAAATAATGATTATATAATTCCAAATGAATAGAACTTCATTATGTTATGATTTTAGGGATTGCCCGTTTTAACCGACCTTTTGAGTCATCCGACCTAGGTCCGGTCCCATTAGGGTCGGTTAAGAGGGGGTCTACTGTAAATCATTATTCAAATAAGAATTAAAAATATTAACACTCCAATCAATTTATATTCTGGAAACTCTACTCTTAATAAAGAAACATCTGGAATATTATTTAAATGAAAACTGTAGTCATCTTACAATTAAAACGTGACAAGGTTTTTTATTTCACGATTCTGAATCAACCACTTGACGGATTTTCACGATTTTTGTGTTGAAAGAAAGATAATTTTGAGAACTAGGGAATGTCGAAGCCATAATTTTAGTTTAGAGTTTCAGTTTTTTAGAAATTTAGTTAAAAATTTTAAAAAGTCTAGCAGCCGACGCTAACCTTCTACTCTAGCTTTTGGTATAATATCATTTGCAACAGCTGTAAACATTCAGCGTTTTCGACACAAATTCAGCATTTGGATGAAAATGAAATGACATTGTAGAATTGACTTATTTATACTATGTGTAATGCTATAATCATTGATACGTTCATTTATTCGGTAAGAGGATGAGAGTTTATTTAAATATACATAGTAAAATACTAGATGCTCTAATTTATTTTTTGATAAGTTTTTAAAATATTTAGTTTGTTTTATTGCAATATGATTTGTTATAACTAACAAACAGCTGGTTGAATAAAAAAATATTCTATAGAACTATGAGGTTAGTTATTTACTCTGTGATTTTGTCATTGATTATAGGAAAGAAGAAAGATTCTATAACCATTGCTGTATACGAATCGAAGCTCACGAATCTAAAAAAAAGCTTATGAAAATTATTTTACTACTTGAATTTTTGACGAAAGGTTGGGAAAATAACAATGAAAACATGTTTTAATTCATCTTGGCAGCTTTTTCTTTGCTATAAATTTTGAGCTGCTTAAACTATGCTTGAATTAGTAATAAACACACTATATACAGGTTAATTGGATTACTCGATTCCTGTACGTAGGACGGGCCAACAGCTCGTAATTATTTAACTAGACATCGAAACGATTTACAGCTGCCCATCCATAGACTTGCCTCAATTGAATCCCTTTTACAGTACATAGGGAAAAAGATGTATAACAAACTGCCTAATAGTATCAAATTAATAGAAAGTATTGAAAAGTTTAAAAAGGATGTTACAAAATTGCTCATTAATAGAATGTATTATAAAGTTAATGATTTCTTAAATGACATGTTTGTGTAATTTCTTAGCATAATATTTTGTTTTAGTAATGTATTTTAATTGTTTATGACTATTTCACCTGTTTCCCAGCTATGCTGGTTTTGTAAACGTTATGTGAAAATAAATAATTGACAATAATTGACTACCGGTACCTAATTCAAAATCATTTTGAATAAACTTCTCATACATGTAAAGTTTTAATGAATTACTGAGTAATACAGATAAATTTTACGTTTAAATAATCTTAAATCCTCATCTTGACTGAAGTTTGAACTTTTACCCTCAAACTAATACTAATTTTTCCAAGCTAGATACCGATGTTAATGATGGACATTGTTGAGTGTCCATGGACTGGGCAGCCAATTTGTGTTAGCCATGACGTTCTTTAGACATAATGATTGTTGGACACTATGATATGCCCCCCTTATTTTTCATTGTAATGTGTTAGTTTGGATAATGACATGTTAGTATAACTCTTTCTTGTCACATGACTACTCTGCTATGTAGGGTAGGGCCCCTGTGTGCTAGAGTTGGTAAATTTGTCTTTACTTGTTACATATATCTCAATTAATTATGCACCAATCCACCTTTTCTTATTTTTAGGCTGAAACACGCGTTAATAGGTTGGCTTGCTGCTTAAAACAAAGTGTCACTAATTTTAAATGGGAGACATGTAACAGTTTATGTTAAATTATATAAATGTTACTACATTTTTTTACTACATCTAATTCTTACTAGTTCTAAAGTAAGATTGGTGATTTTGATTGATTTGAGAAATTCTACAGTATAACAATTTTTTTAAATTTATTACACCCCTTATTTTTTTGTACGTTCTATTGCAGGCTTTTGGTTTCATGACTCGCGTCGCTCTGTTAGCTGATAAAATGGACCATCACCCAGAGTGGTTCAACGTGTACAACAAAGTCAAAGTCACTCTGTGGAGCCACGACGTGCAAGGCTTGAGTGGGAGGGACACAAAGATGGCAGCCTTTATGGACAATGTGGCCAGCTTAACTGCTTGAAACTGTAGCACCTACTGGCCAGCAACGGTGCTCTCTCCTGTCTTTTACCATACCGTACTCTTACCAGCAGCAAATAGAGCACTTAATTGCTGTTTGCAACCTATCCACAACTATGTGTTTGTACATGCCTATCTATCGTCAAGGACCAATCTTTAAGATATTTTGTTATAATTCTTATTACAAAGTTAAAATATATTGTTTGAGATTTATAAGCATTTTCCTTGTTACCTTTTACGAGAAAGGTTAAATTAAATTTAAAAGAGCTTACCTAGCTAGCCTTAAGCCCAAAGTCTGTGGCCCTACCGACTGAGCCACCAACTCACCAAAGTTGCAAGGTGTGAACACCTTACTCGGTTCTTTTCCGTTAATTCACTACCACTACTTTCTTTTGCAATTCCAATATTTGTAACAGTTAACCTAGTCTATAAATATCTAATATATAAAATTCTCGTGTCACAGTGTTTGTCTGCAAACTCCTCCGGAACGACTTCACCGATCGTTATGAAATTTGGTGTGTAAATTCTGTAGGTATGCGAATCGGACGTAAACTATTTCCCGTTTCGAAATTCTTAAAAGGGCTCCGCCCCAGTGGCTCTGGAGTTTCCCATGTTAACCTTATGAGAAATGGAATTAATGAATCTTAACAGCTGTTTCAATTAAACAAGTTGGTTCTGTTCTATGATGTTCAATAGCATTAAAGTTACAAGGATTACCAACAGGGTGCAGCACTATTATTTCTTTTACATTTATGACAACAGCTAATTTGCAACCAAAAGGTGAGTGAGCGTAGCGAACGAACTTCAACCTGGAGGCGAGTTAGCGTAGCGAACGAGCTAACCTGAAGGCAAGTGAGCGCAGCGAATGAGCTCCAACCTAAAGGTGAGTGAGCGTAGCGAACGAGCTCCAACCCAAAGGTGAGTGAGCGTAGCGAACGAACTTCAACCAGGACGTGATTGAGCGATGCGAACGAGATCATCTTGAAAATTAAACGTAACGGTACTTTCTTTCCATCGGTCTGTCTTAGGGGAAACCTATAACTTAGGCGATACGAAGTTCGCCGGGTCAGCTAGTATCAATTATAAAATGAAACTATTCTAAATTAATCCAACCAACCAAACTTGCTGATTATGAAAAAAATATGGTAATGAATAAAAGGAATTGCAGTAAAAAAAGTAGTGGTAGTGAATTAATGGAAAAAAAACACCTTGCTCTTGACAAACTGGCCTGGAGCTCCGTTTTTATATCAATTCAGAACAAGAACATTTTGAGCCATAATTTTTTTTTGCAAAAAATTGGAGTACATAAAAATAAACTTTAAATGGTGTGCGGCTTAGTAGAGCTGTGAAATTGGATTTAATTTCTTTTATATTCGCCAGACCTCTCGCCCATTTCAAACACGTTTTAAAGATCATTTCCCGAAACCATCCATAAAACAGCCTAACTCCACCTTTGCAGAACATTTAATCTATCTTCTATACTATTATATAAAAATCTAATGGTGTCTGTCTGTATGTGTATTACTAATAGGTGCAAAAGCTACTGTACAAACTGGACTAAAATTTTACAAAAATATAGTTACCATACCGAGGACCATTATAGGACTATTCACATTTCGATACTGACCGTAGGCTTTGCCCCTTTGGCTTTAAGGTTGTGAGGTGAAGATTTTAAAAGTAAATATTGATTAGTCTCCATGACTGCAGATGAGAACACTTAACAATGTTTGTTTACATTTGCTTTGTCATTTAAATGTAAACAAGAAGAACTGCTAAACTGCATATTTCACAATTTCAGACAGCTGATACAAAGAAATTAAATATAATATTTTCCATAACTATGAGGTAGGTTTATTTTAATCTAACCTTTTATCATGGATTATTTATTCTAAAACTATGTCAATGATTATATGAATAAAAAAGTATTTAAGTATAAAAAACAGTAACTATTAAAAAATTATTGTATAACAACAGGAGAGGAAATTTGACATTTAAATTCAACTGTGCAACATAAACATTGGTCTTCATTTCAACCCTTGCAATCGGTTAAACTCAGCTTTCTTTGCTGGAAATAATTTATGATTGTTAATGCCAAGTATTCTTGATGGAGGATATGATTGTAATGTAACTGGAATGTAGGTCTTCTGCCATTATTAGGACGATTTAGCGACGTCATTTTAATACTGGCCTTAATAATACCATTGGCCATTGGATACAGAAGATTTTGATGAAAAAGCTGGCTACAAATTTAACATTGGGATGGAATGTCTAGTTGTATTGATAGAAACCGCAGGGGGCTCACGCTTGCGTGGGTTCGTGGCCTGGGCGACCACGCGGACCCTAGCTCTCCCAGAGGGGAGGTAATTGCCCGGTGTTGGAACCGGCACTTCAGGTAGACCACAAGCTATGGAGGACTGGACAAGCCAGCCTCTTTGGGTTTACCCAAAGTGAGAGTACCCAGTGACATTCCCTCCATTCAGGGTGGTGGGGGTGTTCAGCTCTGCTAGTGTTGATTAAGTTCATAGATCTTTCACCTGCCTGTAGCTTGTGGTTGTGACTGAGTCCTACCTGTCGTGTACGACTGACATTTTGTGAGGCATATCCTCGACTTTGGAAGTAGCCTCGTCCTGGGAGGTGAAATACCTAGCCCCCAGAGGGGAGGTAAATGCTCCGTGTTGGTATCGGCATTTTCAAGTTGGCCACAGACATGGACGACTGGGCATTGGGTCCCAGTGACATTCCTTTATCCAGGATGGAGGGGTGTTTAGCTCTAGGAGAGATGGAAGTACATCATAATCTCTAACCTACCTGTGTCTGTGGTTCTTTGGGCTTCGGCCTGCTTGTTGTGTGCGACCAGCATTCAGTGGGCAAATCCTCGACTTTGGAAGTAACCTTTCCTGGAGGTGAAAACGGGCAAGTACCCGCAGCTCACGGGGACACTCAAGGGCAATGTAACTTTCCGCAGTGTGAGGGCAACGGTTTGTAGGTACTTATGCAAACCAATCCCTGTCTCTGAGCACGGACGGTATGGTTATCTTGAGTGTGGGGGGTTCTTCCCGGAACCTCAATTGAGTCAAGGGTGTCGCCACCTCTGGTGGATAGGTTCATCCGGGTGGGTCCCACTTCTATACCTGCCTCCTTTTGGGAAACCCTGATGGCCTGGCAGTGATGTTGGGTCTGACGGGCAAACGAAGTAGATCGGGTGCTGGGTCCGAGCCCGCCAGGGGTATCTGGGGATCTATCGCTCTGGTTATCTCTGGTTTCCCAGCAATGGGTAAGGCCTCGATCGGGCAGCGGTGTAAATGGGAGGTTGGGGTTCCCCCCGTCAGCGTGCTGACGGTCCCCTTCCTCCTGGCTATCGATGGCGGGTTCTGCCTGTCAGGGATTAGATAGGTCCCGAGTGTTGCTTGCACTAAATGCGTCGGGGCGCTCTACCATGGACCTCTAGGTCTCGACCTAGTGGAACCCAGGTGGAGTGACGCTTAAACAAGCAGCCGGAATCCCTGGTTAGGATTGAGGGGCAACCCTCCTTCCGAAGGGTCTGCTTCGGCAGCCGGCGAGCCTGATGACCTTAAGTCATCCGCCCATGATGTGCTAAAGGTTGATGCGTAAGCTTCGGCCTACATCATGGGGCCCGGGTATGTCCTAAAGGATAGGTACCGGGTATGCAGTCAGGGGGCTTCGGCTCTCATGACAAAACGAAATGGAAATGGAAATGTATTGATAGTCAAAGATAAAACATAGGCCTACGAAAAATGTAGGGCTATTTTAATGTAAGACTCAAATGTAAAACACCTTTAAAAGACTAAAATGAACTGAATTATCAGGCTTCATAAATTATATTTTATTTATTGGTACTGAACACTGGTTTTAATAGAACTCACCATGAAAACTTCGAAACTAACTTAAACACAACAAACAATAATAATAATAAATATTACATCATCTGATTTAAGACAGAATAAATGTCACAAGTCCTTTTTTTTCAATTTCAATCTTTTTTCTTTTCCATTTTAAATTGTCTCAGTTGGCACCGGTTTCTTCTCTAAACTGCTCCGCTGTCCATTTGTACCAAATAGGAATTCGGGCTTTTGTGTTTCTTGACAACTTTTCGGGCTTTTGTGTTTCTTGACAACTTTTCAACGGTATTTTCTTGTTTAAATATTAAGATCATAGGAATGGTTTAAAAACGTTTAAAAGAAAGGTCTAGAAAGTTCAGAAATACCTTACTCTTGTTTACATTTTTCTTGTAAACAAAAAACCAGTCATGGCTACTTTAGTACCATAAGTCTAATGTTAAAAATTGGAAATTTTAAGTTAGTTTTAAATTGCATTAGCATTATCTAATTGAAATTTTTTTGTTAAAAACCATCTCACTATTAGTCTAAGTAATTTAGTTAAGTTTAGCTGAAATGCGTTCAGCCGTTATTGAGTGATGTTTCTCTATTTGTTGCATTGAAGTTGATCCCAAAGAGCTTCGCTCGCTCCGCTCAATAAAATCCAATGTATATTTGTATGTTTGTCCTTTATGGACTCCAAAACCGCTCGACAGATTGTAATGAAACTTTTAGGCATTATTAAGCATTATTCAAGGATGGTTTGTGTGAAGTTTGGTGCAGATCCGTCAATAGGGCTCCGCCCCAGTGGCTCTGGAGTTTCCCATGTTAACCTTATGAGTACTCATATTTAAATGGAATTAAAGAATCTTAACAGCTGGTGCAGCTAAACAATTTGATTCTGTGATGTTCAATAGCATTAAAAAGTTAAAAGGAGTTAATACCAACAGGGTGCAGCACTATATTTTTTTTAATTTATGAGAACAGCTAATTTGCAACCAAAAGGTGAATGAGCGTAGCGAACAAACTTCAACCTGGAGGCGAGTTAGCGTAGCGAACGAGCTAACCTGAAGGCAAGTGAGCGCAGCGAACGAGCTCCAACCTAAAGGTGAGTGAGCGTAGCGAACGAACTTCAACCAGGACGTGATTGAGCCATGCGAACGAGCTCATCTTGAAAATGAACGAGCATGTGACATAAAACCACAATAGGACAGGACGACGTCTGTCGGGCCAGCTAGTCTATATATATAAAATCCAATGTATGTTTGTATATTTGTATGTTTGTATATTTGTATGTTTGTCCTTTATGGACTTCAAAACCGCTCGACAGATTGTAATGAAACTTTCAGGCATTATTAAGCATTATTCAAGGATGGTTTGTGTGAAGTTTGGTGCAGATCCGTCAATAGGGCTCCGCCCCAGTGGCTCTGGAGTTTCCCATGTTAACCTTATGAGTACTCATATTCAAATGGAATTAAAGAATCTTAACAGCTGGTGCAACTAAACAATTTGATTCTGTGATGTTCAATAGCATTAAATAGTTAATAGGTTTACCAACAGGGTGCAGCACTATTTTTATTTTTAATCTATGAGAGCAGCTAATTTGCAACCAAAAGGTGAGTAAGCGTAGCGAACGAACTTCAACCTGGAGGCGAGTTAGCGTAGCGAACGAGCTAACCTGAAGGCAAGTGAGCGCAGCGAACGAGCTCCAACCTAAAGGTGAGTGAGCGTAGCGAACGAACTTCAACCAGGACGTGATTGAGCCATGCGAACGAGCTCATCTTGAAAATGAACGAGCATGTGACATAAAACCACAATAGGACAGGACGACGTCTGTCGGGCCAGCTAGTAATATATAAAATCCAATGTATGTTTGTTTTGTCCTTTATGGACTCCGAAACCACTCGACAGATTGTAATGAAACTTTCAGGCATTATTAAGCATTATTCAAGGATGGTTTGTGTGAAGTTTGGTGCAGATCCGTCAAAAGGGCTTCGCCCCAGTGGCTCTGGAGTTTCCCATGTTAACCTTATGAGTATTCATATTTAAATGGAATTAAAGAATCTTAACAGCTGGTTCAACTAAACAATTTGATTCTGTGATGTTCAATAGCATTAAAAAGTTAATAGCTTTACCAACAGGGTAGAGCACTATTATTTTTTAAAATTTATGACAACAGCTAAATTGCAGCCATAAGGTGAGTGAGCGTAGCGAACGAACTTCTACTGGAGGCGAGTTAGCGTAGCGAACAAGCTAAACCTGAAGGCAAGTGAGCACAGCGAACGAGCTCCATTGTTTTTTAAAAAGCCCTTTGAATAAATGTTTGAAAGCAAAACTACTTTTTAAATTTTATATAAATTTAGGTAATAAATAAATATGTTTTATTGTTATTAACACAATGTACAATAGATTGAATGTAATCTTAAGAAGTCTTATTCTAAAATCGCAGCAACGCGCGACGGGTACGCTAGTTAATAATAAACATGATTACACAGATATCAAAACTAAATTAGAGGTTTTATGACCCCATAAAGGAAGAGAAAGATTTCTGAACACTATCAAAGAATAAAAAAATTACAAGGCTACAAAAAAAAAACCACCCCCAGTATATCCTGAATGAAAAATCCTTATTTGAAGCTATTATAATGTACTAGTTAACCGCCCGTGCTCTGCCACGGGAATATTGTCAGCAATAAAAGAAATAATAATTAACAAATACTGTTTATCTTTGTATTTTATTTAGGGGTTGTTTAATTTTTACATGAAATAGAACTGATAGTTTGCCTGTATAAACTATTTTATGTTAATCAAACCGATATATTATTTTAACCAAATGAATGTTTTATATTAATTCGAGTTTCATTTGAAAAATAAATAGTATATGAACTGGGCAATGCTGATAACCTAATAAGCAGCTATTTATGATATTTAGATAATTTGTTCAAGTATATTCCTATATTCGTCGTTTTTTAACATTACATTTGTTGTATTGAATAAAGATAGTCACTTAGCCTACATGTAAATCACGCATCAGCAGTTGGTCACATTACACGAATCTTTGACCCATACTGTGAGTAAAAGCTGTGTTTACGTCGTACATATAACTTTGGCCATACTTTGTTCAATTTTAGAGGGTATTAATGGTCCAATTTGATGGAAAAGGAGTCGTGGATTTTAAAACTATGTAGACTACCACTACCAGAAAGATGTTGATTCAAGTGAGACTTAGAACTGGCCATTTCAAATGCAGATTTGTATTATATTTTACTCAAATAGTTGTTTGTCTCTTTTGACCCTTAATACTTTTTTTATAGTCGCTGTTGATAAGATTTTCCTTAAACTCAAAATGTTGATAAGGAGTTCATTTTACCTTCCCCTTGTGACAACATAAGAAAAAAATATTTGTGTCCCAGTTATTCTGTTCTGACTCAATCAAAATTCATTGATTTGCAGTACTGACAAATCCAATCTAACGACCCCAATTAAAAAAAAAATGGTATTTTTAGAAGGGACTTCCAAAGCACATTTAACACCATCACTGCTCTTTACCTTTTTAGTTCGATGGTTCTCTACATGTTTTTTTTTCGTTCGGTATGTCTCTTTACGCCCGGTTAATGATTACCTTTTCTTTTTCTTTTTGTACTTTTCACACCCTGGGGTTAATGATAAAGTTTTATAACGCTATAATGACCCGAGTCAACATTACCATTAAACATTAAGTCACATACTTCTTCGCCAGAACTGAATGGTAAGTCACAGTTTCTCAAGCAACTTCCCTGTGTACTTGAAAAAAAATAACTGATATATTGTAGTTCCACGTATCCCAGCGTACTCGCCATCTCGAGAAGGTAAAGTTTGGTACCACTGAACGTCTAACACTGATCTGAGTAAGATTCGTCACCTACTATAAAATGTTTGTATGTTTCCCACTCATTAGCAATTATATGTACAACTTGCAAGCGGATTTCCCCATGATTATTCTGGTGGGCGTAGAGAATAAATTATATTGATCAAAACAATAAGTTTCCGTTCCCTACTATGGGTATTATTTCACATTCCATACTCAAACTTAAACTCAATTACCATTTTCCTTCAGATCACTTTGCAGGAAAACTAAAACATTTCAAAAATAAGTTAACAAATACACTTTCCTTGATCAAAATCGTGTGTGTATAAACAGAAACTCCAAGTTTAATAATTGCATACTGAAAGTGAGGTTATAAAAATAATAACAAATGTCTGGCAAACATTAAAACAGCTGACAAATAATTTATAAACTGTGTATTTTATTCTTCAATAAGAATTGTATTGACTCGACCTTTAAAGGGCTGTAGGTCGTAACCCTTAGAAAAAACGTAAATTCTAAGTAAGTTCGGCAAATCTACACACTATCCCCTTTAATTTGAGACATAAATCTTGTAGATCGGTCCAGTAATTACTGAGAAAACAGTGTTACAACTGTGTATTAAATATATAGATGAGACCGTCTTGAACATAGACAAGATCTTATCAGCAGCTGATAACTCTAGGGGGAAGGTGGGGAGAGGAAGACATGGCTTCAGTCTAAACCTAAACCATGTACCCGCGGCCGTGTAGTAATGCCAGTTTGTATGGCCATGCATTTGATCATTTTTTTATGCCTTTGTGCTACAAGTTTTTAGAGAATCAAAACGACCTCCTTAGAGTGATATATTTTACGTCTAGCTTAACAATGATGCCATAGACGACAAAACCAGTCACCTTATAGACGACTTCATGATTACTTGGACAATAATTAGGTAATTTAACCTCTTTTATATTATTTGAGAAGTAATCCGGAAGGCAGCACACAACTATAGTAAAAAAAAGTTGTAATTTTTTGTCCTACTTACATTTTCTTGAAGTTCATTCCATGCATTCCTGATGTGTTTGATGCATCTATATTTTTTTAACGTGTTACTCATAAGACTATGTTGAACTCCCTTTATGTTAACAAATAAAATCCGTAGGAACACCAAGAAAATGATGATCATAAATGCCAAAATGAATGTTTCCATGCAGTACTGAAAAAGAGTTATTAAATCGCCATAGATTAGATAGTAGTAAAGTAATGTTGGATATTCCTGTCCATTATGTAATGAATTTTTAAGTTGAACCACAGAAAAAGTAATGAACATCTCACTGAGTAGCTTGTCAGAGATAGCTCCCTTTTACCATATGATTTAGGCTAGCAATTGTGTGTTATCCTCTGCTTTATACGCTTAGGCCAGCAGAGACACGCATCCACAACCAATAAAACACTTTTTGTATTTAGAACCTTGATTACTGGTACATTCGGTGGCGGCTAGTGTGTATGTTCACAGCTTCAGTGAAAGCCTTGCATAAATGATCAAACAATAAATTTTGTCAGCAAGTAGTGCAGATAACATCAACTTATTGATTTTTTTACAAAAAAATATGTCAACTATTTTTGAGATTGGGAATGAAGCTCTTATCTCCGGTGTCAAGCGGCATGGTGGGTTCTCACACGCAGTGTGAACCGCCCTACCAGGTAACGGGGAGCGGGGTGAGGGGAGAAGCCTGTTTGTAGTAAACGACAGAATCGCTAACATTTGTCGCTAGCGCACAGCCGAGTGCTGGCGTTATTTACCGAACACTTCTGATCGGAACAGTTCTATGAAAGGCAACTTCCCGCTTTTCTGTTGTGAAGAAGATGGACGAAAACGAACTACTAGCTACTGAAGTTGAAGCAAATGTAAAATCACTCAGAGACGTAGACCATTATGCCGTTCGGAAGGAAGTGACAACAAACGCTTTCACCAGCCAAAGACCCATAGATCCCAGCAGAAAGGAAGAACTGAAGACCTGCAACGAAATAAAGAAGAAGCTGGAAGAGAATAACTCAATCGTCATGAAAGCGGACAAAAGCAACGCCATCGTAGTGCTTGAAAAGGAAGAATATATAAAGAAGACTGAAGATTTCATCAAAGAAAATAACTTCAAAGAGCTGAAAAAGGATCCAACGCAGAAGTACCAAAAAGAGCTATCCGACGTCGTGAAGAGATGCACCAGAGTGGTTACCGAAGAATGTTGACAGAAGATGAACATCCTAAATTCCAAAGCACCCGTGATGAAAGGGATCCCGAAAATACACAAGAAGAATGTACCCATCAGACCCTTAGTTAACTTTAAATGTGCTCCTACCGACAATGTTTCAAAATTGTTAGCAAGTAAGCTCAGCAATGATTTAGAATTAGAATATATATACAATGTAAAGAATAGTTATGAATTTGTTGAACATGTAAAGAACATAGATATAGATTCAAATAGTAGTATAGTCTCATTTGATATCTCAAATCTGTACACCAACATACCTGTATCTAAAACTGTAGCTCTTGTTAAATGTAGGCTTTTGCAGAATAGTTTAGACAATGAATATGTCAATCAGATTGTAAAATTGCTTATGACTGTTTTGAAACAAAATTATTTTAGATTTAACAATAGATTTTACGAACAAACAGATGGTTTAGCTATGGGAAGTCCAATTTTTCGGCAATTTTGTCAGAAATATTTTTACAGCATCAGGAAAAAGAAATGTTAACGAATTTAAGAAAGAATCATGATGTAAAACTGTATGTTAGATATGTAGACGACATTCTTGTTATTTTCAGACAAGCTCAGGAACAAGAGCACGAAACGATGATGCAGACACTTAACAGCCACCATTCGAACCTCACCTTTACCAACGAGTTTGAAGAAAACGAAAAGATCAACTTCCTGGACCTGACATTAGAGAGAAAAGACAGCAAGATCGAGTTTGACATCTACAGAAAACCTACGCAAACGGACACTACAATAAACAGCAAGTCTATCCATCCGACAATCCACAAGACCGCAGCCTTTAGATCCATGCTGTACCGAGCCTATAAGATCCCACTTAGCCAAGCCAATAGGAGGAAAGAACTGGACACCATTAAGAAGATCACTCAAGTTAATGGATTTCGAACCAAGACAATAGAGGACATCGCAAGAAAGACGAAAAGAAAACTCAATAGACAGAATACACTACACAGCAGAACAACTTTAGAAGAGATAAAAGAGGAAAACACCAGATATGTCACATTTAGCTACACGGGGACTACAACACAAAGGACTGCTAACAGATTCAAGAAATACGGAGTTTCGATAGCCTACAGGACTCAGAACACCATGAGTAAAATACTGCACCCAAAAATAGAAGATTGTAACAGATTCGACGCATCGGGCATCTATAAAATCAATTGTAACGATTGTGATAGCTTCTACATTGGACAGACTGTGAACTTCGTCAACCGCTTCAAAAACCACATATCTGCATGGAGAAACAACAAACCTGAAAGATCAAACGTCGCACAACACCTGTTACAAAATGGACACTCAATAGGAAAAATGGAGGATAATCTATGTATTTTAAAGAATTGTAAGAAGGGATATGTGATGAATGCTTGGGAAGAATTGTATATTTATAAGGAAAAATGTAAAAATAGAATTAAGTTGATTAATGAACAAGTAAATTTTGATTCCAGTTGTACTTATAAAAATGTATTGGCCGGTGTTTCCGGTAGCCAATAGGGTATAAGTAGGGACGCCATTCAAGATTCTTGTCATTCACCTATTGGGTCTGATGATGATTGGAGTGTCCAATCAAAATCGAACACCACTTACCATCTTTTTTGTATATTTACCGTCTTGTGAGTAACAGTATAAGCGTAAATATATCTTTTAAGTGTTATAAGACGTTTCTCTTATTTACTTTCCGTAATAAGTCAAGTAATAAATATATATTATAACCATCAAGTCTTTATTTCAATTGAGCTCTAAAACAAACATCAACCCTAAAAATGAGATTATTATAATTACAACGTGAGAGCCGACCACAGAACCGCTCTGGAGGCAGCGCAATCGCTAAGCAAGGTTCTCCGTTTTACTTTAAACGTCTGATACGTGAATTGAATAGTAATAACAATGAACTTCTCCCTTTTTACTCAAAACGACCACTAAATGAAAACCCCTTTAAACTCAAGACTCCCAAGTTTCTCCGACAGAACAAAACTGAACTCTACTCTTTGTCCCGAAACCAAGACTTTACCCTTAAAACTCTCCCTTCGGAGCTGACCCCAACAATATTAACAGGACCAGTACTCACCACCTCCCGTGGCTCCCCTCCTGGTCGACTGACCCCAGTCTATTGCCTATTTATCTGATCGCTCTGCTACTGAGTGCAAAGCCTGCAGTGTTTACCTAAACACCTCCAGTTTTTTTACTAGTTGGCAAGGTCTCTCACCTCCTATCTACAATAGTAAGTAACTCTAAAACCTCTAATTTACATTTGTAAAACCATCTCCCCCTTACACTGTTAAGTAGCCAGAACCATACGGCTGGATACAAGCTGTTAGTGCTAGTGCTGGTTAATTCTGATTTATGTTGAAGTATAGGTTATGTTCTAATATTCATATTTTTATTTGGAATTGTGGTGATGTTTTAAAATTTGAATAAAAGTGTTTAAAAATGAACAAGGTTAAATTCTTATTGCAAAATAACTTTTTTAACTCTAACTCTGGAAGACAAGTGTTCCATTAAATTAAATAATTAAAGTTGAGCTTCATTCCCAGTATTTTTACGAAGTAGGCCTAAGTATGTGTACCTAATTGCTCACCCTACAAAATAATACTAATATCTAAATATTTTAAGCTAAAATATGTCTAAACAAACTGTTATCACGTTTAGGGGCGGTTCACGAGCTCGGGACTTCATAGTCTGCGACCAGACGATGGTCCCGGACTATATAATAAGTGACGCCTAAAACTTGGGTTCACGAGACAGAGCGTAATGATGTGAAAGCCAAGCATATTTTTGGTCAAGGGCAAATCTAACGGCAGGGATTTGTAGTGAATTTTTGTTGAGAGGTTGGCAACAGCCTGGAAACAGAACTGAAGCTACTGCTCCAGGCCAACGCATAGGATGGTCCAAACAATAGGATGGTCATGAAATAAGGCTGAACCAAATCAATTATTTCTCGCAAATTTTACTGTCTCAAAGCTCGCCTATAATAATCTATTAAAGATTCATTGATTTGTAAACACAACAAGCCACGTTTGGACAAAATCAGATAAATTGAAGTCAATAACGAAAAAGATTTTTCTGTTTGCATCATTTTAATTCAAATTAGATATGCATGACATAAAATCCCTGGGTATTCATAACTGGATGAAGGCCTATCCTTATATATAATACGTGAAGGCGATTTCTACGAAACACTAAGTACACCTCCGTTAATAATGAACGTATTTTTACAAACGATGTGTCAAAATACTGATACTCCGTGTTTTTTACTGATTTTTCTGGTTTAATCTTAGAATTTTACGGAGTAATTTGTACCTACGGAAAGCGCAAGGATTTCTCAGTGCCAACATCGACTTCAAGCCTATAAACAGTAAGCTATTTAATAGTTATTCGGTATTTACTGTTTAATGATCCGGTCGCCGCCTCATCTACGTTCCGGTGCAAAGGTCAAGCCAGTGCCGTTGTCCGACTCGCGCGCTGATAAGAAGCTCGAGCGGTCGTTATCTGCTCCGTCCACGCCAACAGAGACTCTTACGTCTACGATGCCTAAGACGGACGTCATCGACACCGCTTACATCCAAACCTGTGTCACCGACTACCTCGCAGGGAGCAGTGTGCTCGACACCCTAGTTGCCAAGCTGGCCGACAAGATGAAGGAAGTGGTGGAGTCGGCAGTGCGAGCCGCCATGTCAGCCGCCAATGAAGAGCTGGTCAGTCTTCGCGGCGAGGTTGCCAAACTGTCGGACAGACTGCAGGGCGTGGAGGCGAGGCTGGAGGAGAGGACAGACGAGCTGGAGCAGTACCAGCGACGTAACAATATAAGGATATTCGGCGTCGAGGAGACTGCGAAAGAAGACATCTGCAGACATCTGCGACACAACATCTGCAGAGATAAGCTGGGCGTGGAGCTAACCGAGGCCGCCGTGTGCAGACCGCACAGAGTCGGGAAGGAGCCTGGGCT